CTTGCTCCCTCCCCTCCTCCATGTCTCCGCTCAAGTGTCACCTTCTCAGTGACACCCTGGCCACCCTGTCTAACCAGCAATCCCTTCCCAACATTCCCTACACCCCTTACTCTGTTTTATTTTTCTCTCTTCTTTCAGACTCATTGTACGCAACACTTAACTGGTATGTTTGTTTACTGCCTGTCCCTGAGAGCAGGGACTTTGGTTTACTACTGTGGCCCCAGCATCTAGAATACTTTCTTTGTGCAAAAAAAGTGCTTAGTACGTATTTGTGGCATGGCTATCTATCTCTTGTGTTCAGTCTGACAAACATTTTCTGAGGCTTTCACACAGGCTGTTCTCTTTGCTGGGAATGTCTTGCCCTGGTTTTTCCCATCATCCTCTCGGACCCAGCAGGAAGCCACTCAGACCTCCTCATCCCAGGCAGCCAGTCACTTTGTCTACTGGCCCCCCACTGTTCCAGCCTGAGCCCCCAGGGCCGGGGGCCGTGGCCGTCTGTGTCCAGTTTCCTTCCCCACCAGACCAGGGGGACGGGCCTGGTCTGACTCATCGCTGGGTCCCCAGCGTCACCCACCCATAACAGGTTGTAACTGTCCGCTGGACGTCCCTCCTGAAACTCTCTCTGTCTCTCACTCGTTCCTGCCCCCATCCTGATGCCTCCCTGCCATTTAACACACGTTTCCTGGGGCCTTGGTGTGGGCTGGTCCCTCTGCCTGGAACGCTGCTCCCCACCTGCCCACCTGCCCTCCTGGCGACCGCCTACTCATTACTCAAGACCCGGCACAGGCTCTGTCTGCTATGAAGCCACCACCCTGACGCCCCAGCTCCAGTCAGAGGTCTCTCCCCAGCTCCCCCTGTCCCAGCACCTCCTCCAGCACTGTCCTAGGGGCTGACAGTAGCCAGCTGGGCCCCAGCATGTCTCTGCTATCAGACTGAGAACTCCTCAAGGGCGGGTCTGATCTTGTGCCCTACAGTGCCCAGTAGAGGATGTGAAGGCAACTAGAGACGACAGGGGCCCCAAAGCCCTGACCTCCCTCCCCCAGACCTCTGCCTCTGGTCCTCTCCCACCTGGGGTGACCCTTTCCCTCTCCACTGGCAAACTCCTGCTCCTCTCTAAGGCCCAGCTCATATGTCACCCCCTCTGTGAAGTCCTCGCTGACTGCCCGGGTGGTCTGTGTCTCTCTTGTCTGGGCTCCCCTACCCTGCACCACCCTCCATTGATCCTGACCACCCTGGGTAGTGACCGTCTGTGTCTGGAGACTCCTTGAAGGCAGGACCTGGGTCTGACCCATCTTTCTGTCACCAACAACGCAAAGCAAAGCGTGAGTCAGCCTCTGGAGACACTTGCTGAATGGCTGCAAAATGTAGGAAACATCCCCAGCCTCAGGCCAGGGCCCCTCCCATCTCTCCTCCCACCTCTGACTTCACACCAGCCACCCTCCAGTGTCTTCAATGCCCACTGTGACTTCACGCAGTCGTCCTGTGACAGGCAATCAGGTTGTCGCCCACGGCTACCAGGTCTTTCGTGTCCACTGTGACTTCCAGGACCACACGCTCTTTCGCTCCCACCATGTCCTCTCCGCCTAAACGAACCTCAAAGCCCAGCATGCCTCTGGCATCCCCTGGACCCTCCATGCCCACTGTGGCTCCAACACCTCCTGCCTCCTTGAAGACCACCAAATCAGCAACGCCCAACAGGTCCTCGGTGCCCACCAAGCCATCGACATCCCCCAACTCAGTCACGAGCCCGAGCAGTTCCAAGTCCTCCAAATCAACAAGTACAAAGAGAGTCGCTTCTAACCGGCCCAGCAGTAGGTCCCGAGTCCACAGCAAGGCGAGAACATCCAGCAGGGTGAGCACGGACACGAGGGCCAGTACCGACACCAGGGCCAGCAAAGCCAGCAAGGCCAGCAGCGTGAGACGCCACCGACGGAGAAGCACGCGTAGCCGGGGCAGAACGCCTGGCAGAAGGGGAAGCCACGGTTCTAAGAGGTCACCCAGCAGGGCCAGCACTCCCAGCAGGATAGGAACTCATGGTGCCAGACCAGGCATGGATAGCAGGGTGAGAACTCCTACTTCCCAGGAAAAACAGAGTAGGGGGAAGAGTTATAGCCGGCCTAGAACCAACAACAAGGAAAGGAGCGACAGCCAGCCTAGAAATGTGAGCAGGGAGAAGAGTTACAGCCCACCAGGAGCCTCGGGCATGGAGAGGAGTTCCAGCCTGGCTGTAACCCCCAATAGGGCAAAAAGTCACAGCTCAGCTAGAGTCCCCTTTAAGGAGAAGTGTTATAGCCAGTCTCCATCGTCATCAAGGAGGGTGAAGAGTTACAGTCAGGTGACCACCTCTAGTAGGGAACAGAGTTATAGCCCAACTGAAGTGACCAGCAGGGTCAAGAGTTACAACCAGGTTAGCACCCCCAGCAGGACCCGAAGTCACAGCTCATCTAGCACCCCCAGAAGGACCCGAAGTCACAGTCGGTCTAGCACCCCCAGAAGGACCCGAAGTCACAGTCGGTCTAGCACCCCCAGCAGGACCCGAAGTCACAGCCGGTCTAGAACGCCTAGAAGGGCAAGAAGTCACAGTCGAAAGAGGACCCACAGCAGGGTGAGAAGTTACAGTTGGAAGAGAAATCATGTTAGAGCAAGAAGTCGCAACCGGAAGGGAACTCCTAGCCAGATGAGAAGACATAGTCAGTCTGGAAGCTACAAGGGGAAAAGTCAAAATCAATCTAGAACCCCTAGAAAGAAAAGAAGTTACAACTGGTCTAGAACCCCCAGTGAGGAAAGAAGTCACAGCCAGTCTAGAAGCCCCAGCAAGGAGAGAGATCACAGTGGATCTAGATCTAGAAGCCCCAGCAAGGAGAGAGCGCACAGCCCATCTAGAAACCCCAGCAAGGAGATCTGCCGCAGTCGATCTAGAACCTCCAGTAAGAAGAGAAATCACAGCCAATCTAGAAGCCCCAACAAGGAGAGAGATCCCAGCCAATCTAGAACCCCCAACAAGGATAGAGATCTCAGCCGATCTAGAAGCCCCAGCAAGGAGAGAGATCCCAGTCGAACTACAATCCCCAGAAGTCCTAGCAGGACGAGGAGTCCCAGTCAGAACAGAACCTCTAGCAAGACAAGGAGCCATTCCCCATCAACATTTTCCAGCGTAGGCCAAATCCCAAGCCAGGATGATAGTCAAGCCAACGCTACAACCTCTAAGGCCATCTCACCTGGGGAAAGGTCTTCATCATCTTCTTCCAAGCTGGCGTAGCCTCCAGTCTCAGCTGGCTCACGGGTCTCTGTCATGGCCAGGGGAGGGGACAGGAGACAGGAGCAGAGCAGCAGCTGAGCAGCGTCCCTCCCTGGCCAGCTCTCCACAACCACACCTCCGGCCGCAAGTTCGCTGATACAGGGATGTTGGCAGGTAGAGGGGGATGCTGGACAGGGGAAAGGAAAGGCCTGTAGTGACTCAATAAATTTTTACATAGCACCCATCCCCAACCCAAGCCCAGCTGTGTGCTCAGTATGGGGGTGAGACAAAGATGGCCCTAGCTCTGTCCCTGACTGCCTACAGAGCTTTGACTGCAAGCTCTGCCTCTCTCTGTAGGTCTCAATTTCCCCATCTGGGAAAGAAGGGTGCCTTCTGGTTCTTATTCAATGGGGTAGGGAGAGGTGACATTCTAAATATTTAACAGTAGGTACTGTTGCATGGGCACCAAGCAGAACCGGGAGTGGAGCAGGGGCTTATGCCAGGCATTAACCCTTTAGTTGCTGGACTGTGGGGAAGTCTGGGGCTGGGGGAGGGTACAAAGTGGCAGCCAGGGATAGGAAGTACTTGTGCAGCCGTGATACACCAACCAGTCTGGAAATATTTCAGTATTTAAACAATTGGTATGGCTGCACTAGTTTGTGAATATGAGCCTTAGTTCTACATCAATTGGCAAGAAAGTGCTGAGGTTTGCCACGGACCTAACTTCTCTAGCCTGTTTCCTTCTCTGTAGGAAAGGGGCTTCCAGGCCTTAACTCATTCATGTACTCCTTATAACCATGTTGAGAGATTATCTCCCTTGTACAGATGAGGAAACTGAGGCACAGAGGGGATAAACGGGTAGCGGAAGGTCATATCATCTGGTAGGTGGCTGACTAGGATTTGAAGTCGTATCATCCTACCTCTCATAAAATGATTTCCTGGCTCAAAAGATTTTGTGAAGATTCAACAGGCTCATTCATATAAATTGCTGGTGTGTGGCAGGTATTCCGTCAACAGTGGCTGTGACTACTCCCACCGCCACCCCTCTATAAACTCCAGCCATTCCAGACTTCTCAACTGTCCTTACGCACACCAGGCCTTTTCAAATCTGTGGCTCTTAGTACACCCTGCTGTTGCATCTAGAATGTCCTCCTTCCACCTTGTCTGCCTGGAGAACTCCTTTCCATCCTTCGAAACTCACCACAAATACAAGAACCTCTGTACTTCTTTCCAGCCCGAATATTGCTCTGCCTCTCCCAGTAAGCCTTCCCTGGCTCCTCTCTTTTCTCTCCCTCTTCACCAACAGACCCCCTACATAAATGACTTCTTTTGTCTCGCACTACACTCCCTGATGGCAGAGAACCAACCATGCAAGGCCAGTTGGTGAAGGGGCTGGCAGCCCCAGCTGCACTTCTTATATGCCAAGGCTTGTGCTGGGCGCTGGGGCTACAATGGTGCAAAATACATGGTCCCTTCAAAGCCTTAAGGTCAAGGTTTTAATGCTGGAGGCTAAAAAGAAAAAAATTCAGATTCAAGCCTGCAGGAGTCTGGGGCATTGGAAGCACTGGCATCATTGGCAGGGAAAGTTCCTAAACAAGACACTTGGATCTGGGCTTTTAAGGACAGAAAGAATTGGCAGAGTTCTCATGATACCCTATTGCCTGTAAGGCCCCATTTAATTTGCAAATTCTACTTTATGCCAGGATAAGATTACCAGATTTGGCAAATAATAATAGAGGACATTCAGTTAAACTTGAATTTCAAATAAGCAACAAATAACTACATTTTTTTTTTTTTTTTTTTTTGAGACAGAGTCTCACTCTTTTGCCTGGGCTAGAGTACCGTGGCGTCATCCTAGCTCACAGCAACCTCAAACTCCTGGGCTCAAGCGATCCTCCTGCCTCAGCCTCCCGAGTAGCTGGGACTACAGGCATGCGCCACCATGCCCGGCTAATTTTTTCTATATGTTTTTAGTTGTCCGATTAATTTCTTTCTATTTTTAGTAGAGACGGGGTCTCGCTCTTGCTCAGGCTGGTCTCGAACTCCTGAGCTCAAACAATCCGCCCGCCTGGGCCTCCCAGAGAGCTAGGATTACAGGCGTGAGCCACCGCGCCTGGCCAAAAAATAACTATTTAATATAAGTATGTTTCATGCACTATTTAGGACATACTTTTCTAAAAGATAATTTGTTCATCTGAAATTCAAATTTAATTAGGCATCCTATATTTTATCCGGCAACCATACACTGGGGACAATCAGGACTGAACTTTCCAAGGGGTTACCGGGAGACAATGCCCACCAGCCTATCCTTTCCCAAACCCGCATCACACAAGGCCCTTTTCAGAATATTCCAGATGTCAGGTGGCCGTATCCCTTGGTGCACGAGTCCCACTCGTACAACGCTATGGCGGCTAAATTGACTCCCATGATCTTAGAGGGGCATAAATCACCATAAGACAAACATAGTGCCTGAGACCCCACGATGCCCTGAGCCTGTAGTAACCAATGCCCAAGATGCCCTGCGTGAAAACAATAGGCACCCACTCCCACAATGCTAGGGCAAGGAGGCCAGAGCAAAACCTTCCACGAGACAATAAGGGCCAGTTCCCATAATTCCTTGCGGCATTTCCCCCAAGATGCCTCGGGCCTATAATGACCACCTTCCAAGATGCCCTGCGTGCACTCCATGCTTGCAGGACGTTCGGCGGGAGGTGTGAGACAAAAGGGACCAGTTTCCCACAGGCAGCTTGGGCAGTCTGTCCCAGAATGCACCAGGCCTATAACGACCAGCAGACCGACACCCACAATGCTTTAAGACGGAGCGCCCGGTTTTCCCAGGATGCCCTAGGGCGGTACAGAGCGACGTGTGGGGAGAGAAGGGAGCAGAGTCTCGCCCTCAGGCTATCACGGCCCAAGACCGCTGGCAGCTCCTCGGTGACGGGAGCCGTCTCCCATCATGCAGCAGGGTCGTAGCGCCCGTTTCCCGGCATGCCCCGCGCACCCCTGCCGCGGACACTCACCGGCGCTGGCGACCCCCGCTCCGGCTCTGCGGTGGCGGCTGCACGCCCGGGCTCTGCGCCTGCGCTGCAAGTAGGGTAGGAGGGGGCGCAAGGGGCCTAGGGCGCTTGCGCGGTGAGATAGACCATTCCTGTCGCGCTGTGGAAGAGGGGCTCCCCGAGTCGGGCCGTGGACAGGACCCGCGCAGAGGATTCCGCGCTTTGTCCCTCGTTGCCCGGATTTACTTGGTACAGTCCGCGGCCTGAAAGAACGAGAAGCTGCAGGGCTCGCGCGTGCGTGTGCAGAGGGGGAACGAGCCTTATAAAAATGGGATGCGCTGGGGGTGGAGGGCGCCAATTCAGCCCGGATCCGGGGAGGAGGCCTACTGATTTGCATAATCCTAGCGCGGGACAATGGATGGCCTCCCGCACTGGAAGGAGTGATTTGCATATTCTCCAGAGAGACGCCCCCCCCCCCCCGCACAGTGATTAGCATATTGGAGGGGGCGCCTGAGAAACGCTCATGCACACCGGGTGTGTAGACTTGCAAGAAGCAGGGATCCTTGTTCAGTCGGGGATCAGTTTGCATCTGGAGAAAGGGTACAGGGCGAGGACCCCTCCCAACCAGATAAATATTTATTGATCTTTTATGTGTCCGGCCCTGTGCTGGTGGGGCACTATGGTTTCTGCAGTGAACTAGACACACCCAGCCCCTATCCTCGTGGCGCCCCAAAGGAAGGAGATGCACACCTAATCAGACAACTGCTACCCAGAAAGAAGGTCAGACCTGGAGTAGGTGGAGCATAGGAGGCTCTGGGAGCCAGAAGAGGCACATGCCCCAGCATGAGGTTCTGGAAGAGCTTCCAGGAGGTGGTGATCTTTAAGCCAAGTATGAATAGGAGCCAACTAGAATGAGAGTCTTTCTGGCAGAGGGAAGAGCGAGGGCAAAAGCCCAGAGGCAAAAAAGTGCATTGATTGAGGAAGTGCAAGTGGCTTAGTATGCCTGGAACACAGAATTGGAGAGGGGAAAGGCTCCTATAGGTGATGTTTAAAGGGCTGACTTTATGCCAAGTATAGGAAGCTATTGCAACTCTCCAGACTCCTGTGAAGTGACTTTGTCACATTCCAGCTTAAAACTCTTCAATGGGATGCCATTACACTTAGGAAAAAAATCCAAACTCTTTGTCATGGCCTCAAGGGCTATACAGGAGGTCTGGCCCAGCTTAGCTTTCTGACTTCACCCACCTCTCCTCTTTAACCACTCCAGCTCCACTTTCACCTCAAATACCTCAATCTCTTCACCATCTCAGGCCTTTGCTCTTGCTGATCTCTCTGCCCGAAAATGCTTTTCTCGCTGATCTTCTCTCGCTGATCTTCGAATAGCTGCTCTTGTGGTCACCATTCATATGTTGGCACAGATGTCGATCTGAGATGCTTTCCCTGATCTTTCTATAACAGCACCTCCAGATTTGAGTGGAGTTATAGATAAAGCAGGATTGGCCCTGAGTGATTGTTGAAACTGGGTTGAAGGGTATGTGGGACTTCATTGTCCTGTCTACTCCTGTGTGTTTTAAGTTTTCCATGATAACAAGTTAAAATAGCACCTCATATCCACTCGCTCTGCATTTTATCTTTTTTTTTTTTTTTGAGACAGTGTCTCTGTTGCCTGGGCTAGAGTGCAGTGGCGTCATCATAGCTCACTGCAATCTCAAACTCCTGGGCTCAATGGATCCTCCTGCCTCAGCCTCTAGAGTAGCTGGAACTACAGGTGAGGGCCACCACACCCAGCTAATTTTTCTATTTTTAGTAGAGATGAGGTCTCACTATGTTGCCCAAGCTGGTCTTGAACTCCTGACCTCAAGTGATCCTCCAACCTAGGCCTCCCAAAGTGCTGGGACTACAGGCCTGCATTATATCTTAATAGTCCTTATCACAATATGAACTTAAGTTTCTTTGCTTCCTTTGCTTATAGTCTGTTTTCCTCGTGAAAGCTTCAGGAAGATAAAAATGGAGTCACCCTTTTTCACTTTGAGTCCTCAGTGCCTAGAACAGGATCAAATTTCAGATTAATGCTAAACTGTCTGTAACAGCTAACATTTCCCTGTTTTATTCACTCTGGACTCTCCAGAACCTTGAGCAGGACCTGGCACATTTTTTAAGAGGTTATTATTTTTTTTTTTTTGAGACAGAGTCTCGCTTTTGTTGCCCAGGCTAGAGTGAGTGCCGTGGCGTCAGCCTAGCTCACAGCAACCTCAAACTCCTGGGCTCAAGCGATCCTCCTGCCTCAGCCTCCCGGGTAGCTGGGACTACAGGCATGCGCCACCATGCCCGGCTAATTTTTTCTTTATATTTTTAGTTGTCTGATTAATTTCTTTCTATTTTTAGTAGAGACGGGGTCTCGCTCTTGCTCAGGCTGGTTTCGAACTCCTGAGCTCAAACAATCCGCCCGCCTCGGCCTCCCAGAGTGCTAGGATTACAGGCGTGAGCCACCGCGCCCCGCCATAAGAGGTTATTTTTGAATCTAAAGTTAGAATGTGTGAACTAAAATAAAATCTTAAGGGTCCCCCCCACCGGCTGACTGAACAGACCCCCTCTTGGCCAAGGGGATGTTCTAAAACTAAATTGACTGTCACAAGGAGGGAGGTCAGACGTGCCTCATCATGCCCCACCTTCTTGGAGACATCCTTTTTAACTCATTAACAGGCCTGAGGGTATGCAAGACAAACCTGCAGGTCCTCAATTTACACAACAAATATATGACAGGGTGGCTTATCTCTGATTAACAGCTCCTTATCTTAAAACATTCCAAGCTGGCCAGGGGGCCAGGTGTGGTGGCTCACACCTGTAATCCTAGCACTCTGGGAGGCCTAGGCGGGAGGATCGCTGGCTGGAGGTCAGGAGTTTGTCACCAGGCCATGGGATGGAGCTGGGGCAGCTCAGTAGCTACCAAAGAGACAAAGCTCTGTGACTATTGTCTGAAGAAGTGGCCAGGAAAAAAACCAGGTTTCTTGGGAAGGTGGAGATGCCCTTGGTGAGGTCAGGACCTTGTCCTGGCCACCAGCAACCATCCCATTCCCCCTCTGAAGGAAATTAGAAGTATTTTACCCTAAAACATGGCACTTTTACATGCTGGAGTGACTGCAGGAGCATGAGCAAGGTCTCTCTGACTCCCCACCCCCAACACTGGCACTCCCCAAAAAGTTTATCTTCCTAAGATCCAGACACACCCAAGAGAACAATAATTGTTCTTCCCCTCCCTGTAAAACCGGGAAAGTACACCTGAACAGACTCTTTAAGAAGATAATGTCCCCTCTCTCAGATTCATTTGAATTTCCAAAGAGAACTATTTACCAGTTAATCTTTGCTCCCCATGCATTCATCCTTCTTAGCAATCCTTTATTCCCCCTAAACAGAACTTTTCTTTTCTCCTCTCCCATAACCCATTTTACCAGAAAGGCATAGAAGATTCTGAACTCCATCTTCATTCTGAGGGTTCCCACATATACACGTTAAAATAAATTTGTGTCCTTTATCTATTAATCAATCTGCCTCGTGTCAGTGATTTTTCAGCAAACTTCTATGTGGACAGGAGCCTTTGGTTCCAATGGTTTGGCGAACCTTTGGGGGGCCAGGGGACTTTATTCCCTAAACCTCCCTCCTACCTCCCTTAGTTCTCCTCCCAGTGGTGCAGCCCTGGGCAGAGGGACAGACACACAGCCACCCCAGGCAATTGTTCTCTCCTCAGTTTAATGGTGGTTAGTGGGATTGCCAAAACCCCCTCCCCATTCCCCTCCCCGCCCCGTACAAAATGTGTCTTTTTTTAAACAAGAAAAAGGGGGCAAAAGCCAGGAATGGGGAGAGGGGGGTGCAATCTGATATTTTCATACAGATTTTTGATTTTTTAATATATTATATATAAAATCATAGAGACCACGTATTCCCCCCCAAACTCCTTTCCCCCTCCTGGAGGGGGGCCTGGAGGAGAGATGGGGAAGGCCCCCCAAGGAGTAGATGGACAGAGAGACAAATGTGGGTAGGACAGATGTGGGGGTAGGAGGTGGAGGGAAGGGGTGCCCAGGAACATGGGGAAGGGGGATTGGAGAAAAGGGTTGGGGCTGTCTCCCTCACTGTCTCCATCAAAGTTATGACACAAAGACACAGAATCCCTGTTTCCACGCCCTCCCCCACCCCTCCCCCCCTACCGTGCAAACATGGCTTTGCAAAGAGGTGCCCAGAGCTCTGTGGAACTCTTACAATGGCTGGCATGGGGTCTGGGACCCCCAAAGAAATCTGTGTTCCCTTTCCCTGCCCACCCCACCCTTCCCAGAATCTGACCCCCTCCCCACATGACCTGGTTCTGTAGCCTAGGGGCCCTGGCCTTCCCCCAGTTATCTTCCCCCAACTCAATGCCTACTGCCCTCCCTGGACTTGGGGGGGTCTGGACCTTTGGCCCCTCCCCCATGGGGGACCCAGACCTTTGGGCCCTCACTTCTGGCCCTTGCAGAGATCCAGGCATACAACATCCCCATCCCTGCCCAAGCGTCTGAGGTGTTAGTGGTGGGAGGAGAAGCCCACCATCCCAGACTCTGGCAAATGTCTTTGCTGGTTCCTTGCAGCTGGCAGTGGGGGGGGATCCCAGCCCAGGCTCAGGCCTGGGGTGGGGATGGGGTCAGATGAAGAATTCTTCTTTCCTCTTGTGTCCATCGCTGCCGTTGAGGAAGGCTTCTCTTGCTTCTCCCTGCTCATCCAAGCCACTGGCTTCGTGGGTCAGATAGGAACCTGAGGGAGTGACAGAGCCCCAGGGCACAGGGGACATATATGTAGACCCAGGAGTTGGACAGAAACGTAGGGGAAGAGGGAGACAGACAAGACAGATACCAGGCGAAGAGGGAGAAACGGAACACATAGGGAGTTAAGTGCAGGGAATAGCAAGATAGTGACAGAGAAAGAGGGAAAAGCAGAATTAGGAGGACTCCAAAAGCTCACAGAAAGAGCCACCCTTATTCCTTCTCTTGGTGGTATCCCCTTGCTTTGCTCCCAACAAATCCAGCAGATAGGAAGGTAAGCTGTTTTGTTCAAACCCATGCCCTTAAATTGGCTTCTAAGTTCTACCCCTTTTAGAGTACTGGGCCGAAAGCCCCGTCTCCCTGGGATCTTGGCCTCAGGTCTCCGGGGATTTGGAACCCTGGGTGTTGGCTCCGCCCCCTTATCTTGGCTCTCGCCCCGCCTCCTTTGAATCCCACAACCAACCACACCTCTTGCTGCATTCAGGCCCCGCCTCCACTCACCCTTCTGCCGTACAGAGCACCAGAC